ATATAAACGAACAATAATATTTATTATATCTAATATATAGATAGCAACGGATATTATAATATGGTTTTAGAATACGCTGACGATGGAACTTTACGAGAATACTTAATGGAAAATTTTCCAAAATTACAATGGGCAGACAAACTACGCATTGCTAAGGAAATAGCACTTTGACTTTTATTTTTACATGATAATAATCTGGTAAGTATCGTACTATGTGTATTTTACAGCATTTATTAATTTACTAATGCATACTTTTAATCATTATATTTTGCTAATTTAGCATTCGAAAAATATCTTAATTTTTCAAAATCAATCAAAGATTACAGATTTTGCACTATCAAAGCAGATGAATGAAATGTCTATGACCTCAAACTCTACCATTCATGGAATGCCGGCATATATCGAACCTAAATCTCGAATATAAACGTGATAAGAGATCGGACGTTTGTAGCTTTGGGCTAATCCTCTGGGAAATTTCAAGCGGAAGATCTCCATTTCAAACTTTTGAATCTGCAGAATATTCACTTGCTATTTACATATTTCAAGTAAATAGAGAAAAACCCATAGAAGGTACACCATCTCAATATGTCGAACTTTACCAAAAATGTTGGGACAGTGATCCTGCCAATCGTCCAGGAACAAAATTAATTCTTAATACTTTAAAACAAATTATTCCTGATAAAACTTTGACATTATCTGAGAATAGTGAAATTTTCTCAAGATGTCAAGACAATCTTAGTACATTTGAAATTATATCATCACCACTTTACTTAAATGATTCAAATACATCAGTACGTAACGTCTATATTCTTGAGAACTTGAGAAAGAAATCACATGAATTTTTTGATCAAGGCAAATTTCTCAAAGCATTAAAACTTTTTGAGGAAATCCTCGAAAACCGCCGCCAGCATAGCCCTGAAGATCAAAAAACTGCTTCAATATGGGATCTATCTTCTAATAAATGTGGCGTGCTAAAAATTAACAAGCTAATAAAGGTACTTCTCAAAAATAGCACACTGAAAGATTTGAATCTTGAATGTAACGATCTTGTATCAGGAGGAGGAAAAGAATTAGCCTATGTGCTTTGCAAGAACACGACATTAACTCTCGATAATAATGATCTTGGATCCAAAGGAGGAAAAGCATTAGCTGATGCACTTTGTAAGAACACCTCCTTAACAACGTTAAATCTCCATAATAATGAACTTGGATCAGAAGGAGGAAAAGCATTATCTGATGTACTTTGCAAGAATATCTCCTTAACTTCTTTGAATATCAGTTATAATGGGCTTGGATTCGAAGTAGGAAAAGCATTAGCTGATGCACTTTGCAAGAATTCCTCCTTAACAACGTTAAATCTCGGTAGAAATTATCTTGGACCAGAAGGAGGAAAAGCATTAGCTGATGCTCTTTGCAAGAACTCCTCCTTGACAACATTATATCTCAATAGTAATAAACTTGGATCCGAAGTAGGAAAAGCATTAGCTGATGTACTTTGCAAGAACACCTCCTTAACAACTTTAAATCTTTATAATAATAAAATTGGATCCGAAGGAGGAAAAGCATTAGCATTTGCGCTTTGTAAGAATACCTCCTTAACAATGTTAAATCTCTATTATATTAATCTTGGGTCCGAAGGAGGAAAAGAATTAGCAGATGCACTTTGCAAGAACACCTCCTTAACATCTTTGGATATCGGTTATAATAAAATTGGATCCGAAGGAGGAAAAGTATTAGCAAATATAATCGTTAGCTTCGTCGATATCAAATAATTCGGAGGGCTCTGCTTTAGTAACATATTTAGTAATATATTTAGCAAATCCAGTAGAGGTAACATATTGAAAATTAATGTGACCACGCCATACTAATAAGGTTTCAGGATGATAAGGAACTACCATCCTGTCTTCATCTTTAGTACGGCGATAAATATAACGTAAAGAATTCTGTGAATAGTAAGTTCTATCAGACAAAGGTTGGGGGAAACCTTTAGAACATGGAATTCCACTAGAAATTTGACCACCACACCTATAGTCACAATGATGTATCTGGAATTGTGATACTAAAGCATATAACTCAGGCTCAGAGACTGGATCAGGAAGGTCAGCGCGAATTGTGTTCAAGGAGATTAATTCTGAAATTTTTTTTTCAGTATACGCGAATCCGTGAGTATGTATAGATCCACGGTTTTGAAATTCATCACGTTCGAAAAAATGTTCCCATTTACCCCATCTCGAAAGGGATAGATTTTTCCAAAGTCTGTTACGAATATTAGTCAGATAGTTATGATAGAATAGGTAAGTATGCAGAGGACGATTTGTGGGTAGAGTGTCTCCATTGTCAGTTTGACGCAGTATCTCGTGTAAGTGAGGCCATTTATCCTCAGCCATAGTCATTGTATAAAATATTTGAGAAAGACCATAAGAATTTAACATAGTATTAACTTGATACTGTTTTTGTTGAAAATAAGGAGTGGCGATACGGAGATTTGAAGGGATAGTGGTAGTTTTAGTTTCATCAATGATATTATGTGTACCATAAGAGCTTACAGCGATCAAATCAGCTCTTGTTGGGTGATTCTCGCGATTAACTTTTTTAGTTGATAGTATGCGGTGATGGTTTTGAAAATTTCTTTTTTTTTCTAAGGTTAGGTATGACCAATGAGGCCAATACCAATGGAGGCGAAAGTGAGGATCAGGACAGAGCAAACGTAGTTTTATATATTTCCTGTAACTATCGACTAAAGGTTGAAAATTTAGAAGTAGTTTTATGTTTTCATAATGATCTTGACCATTAGGAAATAGGTCAGGAAACATTAATGCTTCTAGATTAGGATCATCAAATGAGAGAGGTTTATTGGTGCCAACTATTAAGCCAGCTATTAGGTGCATCTTCGTTGTGAATTTCTTGGGGGAAAAAATTATTTGGAATAACCAAATTAGGAGGGCGGGTAAGTTATCAGGGAGATTACTACGGTAGATATTAGTTGATTGATTGGCATTTTGAAGTGATTGGCGGGCTAATGGTAGAGGAAGGGGAACAGGTATTGTTGGAGAAGAGTTGTTGATGGATATGCTTGATGCATATTCACGAATAAGAGGATTGGTAAGTTTGAGCCAGTTTGATGCAGGAATTAAAGAGTTATGAAACCAATTTGGAGGTTTGTTAACATTTAAGTAACAGCCGCTTAATCCAGAATACAACTGGAGAGTTCGATAAGTATGAGATAAATTGATATTTCCTTGAAGATGATGGTAATTCGTGTAGCAATTTGTACCAGCAGAGCAGCCTAATGAGCATTGCATAAAAACAGGTGAAAGGTATTTCTATGCATCATAGGAACGTCATGTATCTGAGAAGGAATCTGAGGTAATATTGGAGGATATCGACGCGTCTTTTCATTCTTACACCTATTGCAGACAGCTACTTGCCTAATATTTCTACTATTTGTTCGGGTATGAACAGGAATGGAAAAAACTTGAGGCATAACGTATGAAGTATTTTCTTCATAAGGTACCCATTGCGTAGAAGAGTTAAGCATAAGAATAGAACAATGAGCACAGGGAATACAGGGATGATCAGGTAAAATTTTGGTGTCAAATTGAAGTATAAGACAACGAAGAGCAGGGGTCAAATGACAATAAGAAAGATTAATAGTTTCATTTAATGGGATGAAAGAATCAGGCACACTAGAAACGGATGGTGCATTTGACAAATTTTGATTTATTTTGTTTCTAAAAGTATATGGTTCAAAAATAATATTAACAGGAGACTCAATAGGACTTTTGTTAGATTGTTGTAACACTTCAGCAAAAGAGGAAAGGCGGAAGGTTTGAATATTGTAATTTGACTTTTTTTTTTTTTTTAATCGCAAAGGATAAGAAGGTAAAACTTAAGCAACAATGGAGGAAGATCAGGGATTTAAATAAGAAATTCTACTACGCAGGTGATGTAGTATTTAACGAGAGTTCATATAAATGGTTATTTAACATTGGGTGTTGTAAGCATCAACTGATAGATCAAGTTAAATGATCATGATAAAATATTGATGATGCATATATTTATTTTATTATAATTGAAATAAAAAGGTATATATTGGTGATAATGTAGAGGTATTTATTAACAGATAAATATGAAAAAATTTTTTGTAATAGGATATAAGTACGGTTAGAATTAGAAATTTAACGGTAGATTTAAAAGCAATTCATCGATAACACGTAGTATAGTATAGTATAACGCGGATATGAGGAAGTTTGTAAGTAATATGATAATGGTAAGGTAATTGTTATGTAGAATGGTACTTATTCAAATACTTTATTAAGAACTTAAAAGAAAAAAGTAGCACAGTATATTACTGTCATTATCAAGCATGATATGCATATACGAAAGAATACATAAGTGATATATTATACCATTTTTTTTTTTATACGGATTTCAATTTCTGGAGATATACATAAGATTACCTAACGCTTGTGAATGTTTTATGAAAATTTTGTTCTTTAAAATAATTTATACGGTCTTGAATTAGTACTCATGAGCATCGCGAATTAAAGCGGATTCTAACGTAGCATATAATTTACCGTTGCGATATTAAGTGGATATTTCATATACGTACACTCTACAAGCGCATTTACATACACTTTCGCTACAACGATAAGAGCACATAATTTGATCTGTCTAAAGTAATTATTTTATATTAACTGTTGATTATTCTCTATAATGAACATCGTTATACGGTAGGAAATGATTCAATATAAAAACATATAAGAAAAGGAGTTTATTTTGCTCAACAAATAAAAGGGCATATAATCTAGGTACGACTATATTCATAATTTATCAACATCAAATTTATTTTTAAAAAATTAATATGATGTAAAAGGGAAAAGTAGCATTAAAAAAATAGTAGAGCAGTAAAGTTAAAAGGTAAGATAACAAATACAATTATCAGGTGGTATTTGTTAAAGAAAACAAAAAGGATAATGCAAAAAAAAAGTATTAAGTGCTTATTTTTTTGCAGTGCGAGCACGTTTACCTTTAGTATCAGGTTTTGTATTCTGAGGTTGAACATGAGAAGGCTCAATAGAATCATTATCACTTATAAGGGTATCATCTTCATCTTCAACACGAAGGAATACTTTGATTTGTATTCTGAGATGAAGATTCACAATTGGCAGTTGACGAGGAGGGTTCCGCATAGGTTGTTCCAGTGGAAGGAGTCCCTTTTTGGATTTGTGAAATAAGGTCAGCAAAATTAAGGGATGTGGTTTTATCATTTGAATGTTTATTATTCAACGGGTTACGCAGATTAATTCTTGGTTTTTTTTTGTGGGTGTTGGGATGTCAGCGTAGCATACTTTTCTTCAATACTGTCAAGATGTACATCAAGTTCAACTTATGAAGTTACTCTTGTGTTACTTGTAGTACTTGAGGGCTGGAAATCACTAGAAACATATGTCCATTCAATGTCAGAACGAGAATATGGGGAAGTTTTTTTGATCCAATTTTCAAACGCCCTATGACAGACATGACTGTCTTTTTCAAATTATTTTTCATAGCACTATATCGGTTGTTTTCATTTGTATACGATATAATAACTTTTGACTCAACATTTTTATTATTAGTGACCCCGTTATATAACCGTCTCGCCATTACGAAACTTTCTCGTCCACCTTGATTATCAGGAATATATGAATCGGGTACCACGGTAGCAGTATAAATTAACAAAGGAGATGAACTTGGAAGATCTTCAGGAGTGAGAACATAATCGCCTTCAGAAGAAGAAATTGGAACCGTTTGAACCAAAGTAACCTGAGGGAAAGTAATATAACATGGTATATAATGAATGGGTTTTGAAGATAGGTTGGTCATGCATAAAAATGTCGCGGTCTTGTGATGATGGGCACTTTTGATGCAACAATTCAAACGCATAATTTGAATTACCCGGACTGTAGAGGTTATTGATTACAAGACCGCGACATTTTTCATGACATGACTAAGCTACTTGGTGTATGAAGTTAATATATTAACAGTAACGATTATATACATATTCTAGGTTTTCATAAACATAACGGCCGACCATTAATATGATCGAATTTTTTTCAAAAGGGACGATTAAAGATTCAGAATTAGGCATAAACCCTTTAAAGGTAATTTCTCTGAATTTGTCGGTGGTATGGTTAACTCGGTACAAGGTGGTTCCGGAAATGTATCTGTCATTTCCGGTAACATTTTACAAATTAAGTAAATAGTCGAAGGTAAGCAATTATAGGTAAGGAATATGATGTATAGCAAACTTTAGAATAAAGCGATAACGAAAATAGATCTGATTATACGCCTTTTACAAGATCTCTTTATATAGAAAAGAGGACGAGATGAAATTAAGTGGGAATTCATCCAAGAAATTTGAGATAAGCGATTATCTGAATTATAGTTTGATACTAAAAGCAAAAATACAGGATTTTGGCAGTATCTAAAACAGCATCAACGATATTAGGACAAGGTCATAATTAAGTTTGAGCGAAACTGGTATTCTATAGATCTACAAACGTGATTATCGTGATATCGCTAGTGCTATTTTAGATACCAAAAATCTAACAGCTCTGATTATGTGATAAGAACGGGTATTATTTCGATGTTTAATCACGCAACAACAATAATTCTATTATTCGAGCGCATCAGATAAAGATTAGTGAACTTTAGATTATCGATAAGATAAACGTATAAGTGAAAAGTAAAAATCGAATTCGATTTTGTAATTAAAATATAAAAACATAAATCCGATCACTCATAGCATCTGGTTATTCATCGTGTACTATGTAAAACAACAATATCCATATTATTTTATTTTACGTTCATTAAAAATTCAATTTAATGTAATCAAACTGGAAATAAATATTTTGTCGTGTTAATATTTATATTGTTAAACGTTAAGGAGATCATTCAATAAATAAATAAATTCATCAATTGTGAATGATAGATCTTTTTAATACTTGATATTGAGGAATATCTTAATACAATAAAGTATAATTATTAGTACGATTGCTCAACAGTCTAACGTAATCAGGTTTTACTTTAATAAGGAACTTTTTATTATCATATAAAGAACAGTAAAAAGGGATCCATTAAAGCAGATTAATGATGTCTTTAAGCGCTAAAAAAGTATTAACCTGTTTATCAAATCAAGTTTTAAGCTTTATTGTATTAGTTAACCTCGAGACTCGCAACTAAAATAAGGAGCATAAATTCAACTACTCTTATTAATATCAGTCAGAATGTTCAGGGTACCACGTTGCATATTTCTGCTCACGCTAAAAATACCTTTTTTATTGTAATTTGATTTAGAAAGTGATTTAAATAATGAGTCTCTTACAGAAACAATATAAAAAATTGGATTTAGCATGAGCAGAATTATACACCCAGTACCCTGGACGCTCTACTCTTAGTATTTGGTATTTGGGTAGGTACACAGCAAAACCATGCTTTGAGACGAATTTCTTATTAGGAGATATCAATGATTGATCATTTTGATGCAATATTTGATATATATAGTTACCAAAAGCTGCGCACGATATTGTGCTAAATCTTAATATGTTAATGTGCAATAAAAATTTTACCATGAATAAATCACGCACTTGGGAATATAATTCAATAAAAATCTCAATTTTGGTTAAAAACTTTCAAAGCATGGTTTTGCTGTGTACCAACCCATTTGTGTATTATGAACAACAATAATCAGGAGATTATTCATTGTGAGATTGATTCGGAAATAAAAATTTGTATTGTTTAACATTAAGGGAGATCATTTAACAAATAAGCTTATCTATTAATGGAGAATTATAATAAAGCAGATTAATGACCTATTTCGTGTTAAAACGGGGCTGTGCAGATCTCTTAAACATATAAAAATGCAATTAGACACATTAAGTCTTACGGCTTCTTTATCAGACAATATTGCCGGTTATCGTGTAACATATTATACTAATAAGACCACCTATTATTGTTATTGTAATATGTGTTGACTTGTTTAAGCACCAAAAAAATAATTATTAAACTATGATTCGTCGCACTAGAATTAAAAAAAAACTAAAGTAAGAAAGATTCTATCACTTTTAGTATTTGGTATGTTTTATGAACAACAATTAAATTATTATTCAGTTTCATGATCGATTTTTAAATGATCAAAAATCTAATTTATTGTGTGATTGATCTGGTAATAAAGTTAAAGATTATTTAACAAATAAATGTAATTTCAAGTTTTTCACATATTAACCGTTTCGACGTAGTATACTAATAAGAAGATAATGTATAGTACGCAATGAAGACCTCTAATAACGTTACCGGTAATAAATGTAATATAAAAAAAAAAAATGTTAAAATAATAAAATGATAATAAACAAAGGAACTCTTAACGTTAAAGTAAGGAGAATAAATAACATGTTACACATACAAGTTGCACATGGCTTAGATCATTTTATCGCAAGACTGATCTAAGCGACATAATTAGGGCAAATTTAGTAAAAACACATTTCACAAACCGAGACTGCCGGTAAAAAAAGTAGGTATTGGCTTAGCGAACATAAAAGTATTGTAAAAATGTCTTTATCTTTTATGATTATCATTTAATCAGGGTGGCAAAAACTCCGAAATGAAAACAGAGAAAAAGAGAGAAATAACGAAAACAGGTATAATTTACTATAATGAACCGCACAATTTTCACATAAAAATAAAAATTTTATACAATTGTGAATTTTTTACCGTTTCGCAAGTGCAAGAGCAAGCACAACATCAACGTCAACATCAACATCAACATCAAGAGTAAGCACAAGAGCATAGACCATATACAACGCTTTCAAGTTCGTGATACAGCAAATTACTTTTTATAGCGATGTTTTTACTATAAATGGAGGATAGTATTAGCTAATCCGGGGCGTTATGTGCATATTTAGAAAAAATACGTTTCACGAACATAAGGTCGCCGCACAAGAGTGTTAACTTGATTTAAGAAAAGGACTCGTGTGATTGGCTAACATATGTCGATCCAATAATAGATTGTTATTGTTATTGTTACATCAAATTTTAAACATGATTTTCTCAAAATAGAAAAAAGCCATAACGATATGAAATTTTACGTTTTAGTAAATTCACAGTATGCATAAAAGAAAAAAACTGAACGTACATACGTAAGTATGTAGAAGATCACATAACCTACACACACTAAGATCACGTTCCCAATCTAAAAGCGGAAAATATTGAGTATATATCAGAATTAGACAAATTGATTCATTATGCTAATAACGATGTGGATACTTGTCTAAAAATAGCGATTGTAACATCTAAATTGTTGACACATGATATAATTTGTCCAACGAAATCACGCCAATCAGTGCTATTTTAGTGTTTTCTAACGATCATTTGGATGTAGCAAAATAAAAATCTGGAAGTAAATTTAGGAATATCCATAACGAATTTAGTCGCATAAGAATATATTTAGTTACATATACTACCAATCTTCAATACCGTGCATTAGTAACAAAGTTTCAGTTATCGAAATAATAAAATGATCAGGAAAAAAATATGGCGCTAAATTCATTTGTCATGATGTCTGTGCCATTTTGTGCAACCGACCACTTTCTTATAGAGTATTGATAATTAAAATCTGATAACTCTACCATGATTGTATAGCCAATACTTATATTTAATTAATCAATACATAATCAATACATAATCAATATATGAATTAATTGAAATTATGTCTACTATCGAAAGTTTTTTCTACAATGAATATAATGAATATAAACAAAGTTAGCAATATTTAAACCACGTATTAAATGATAAAGTTCCATTATTTGAATCAAATTATTTTACATATCATTCAGAGTGAATATTGTTAATTGTATAGATAACTGCTTGATTTTGAAATTGTCAGATAACCTTGTTTAATTAAAACTAAGTTTCGAACGTTTGGATTTGAAATATCCCATTTCGCCATTTACTTAATACTGTTAGAAGCCGTAAAATAGTGAATCTATTTTCATATATGCTTTCTTCGTTTTAGCAATAAAGTGTAAAAAAATAGAATTTATAAATCTCGCTAATTTGATTTGAAATCAGAAACAAAACATTAATTCTGAATCACTTTAATAGCTGATAAGTGTAAAATTATATTTTTTAAGTTTATAAAAAATAAGATTTTTAATTTGTCAAATATGATACTTTCAAATATGATGCTTTCAAAACACATTCGTTTGAAAAAAGGCTAAACACTTGGGTGTTAGCAGGTCTTCTATAGGTCGAGTTCTCAAACAATTTCAAAAGTATAAGAATTATCATCACTTTAAATAAACATATTAATAAAAACTTGACACTTATTTCAACTTGTGTTGCATTTTTTTCGAACCAGTTAACTACTCCAGATCGGTGTTATGTATTAAAAGGCAAATTTTCAAAAATTTAAATACCGTAAATTCGCTATTTCGTGAATTTCGGTAGATATATATTTAATGAACAAATTTGCTATACTATAAGTTACTGAAGCTAATTATTTAATAAAAAGATTCACAAAATAAAAAAAATTGGTTATATGATTATTTTTGTATCATACATATTGGATAAAAAAGAGTTGAGATTTCAAATGTAATATAGTATTGATCGAACAATGTGCTATAATAGTAACTCTAGAAATTTTTTTATAATCATACCAAAATCAATAATTTATTTATTTATTTAACTAATTTCATCAAAATACAACTTTATCATTACTGCATTCTCTCTTTTTAAACCATAAAATTGCAAACAATCATGTTCCGTTAAAAGAAATTCGCTTGAACTTAACAAAATTTACGGATGCCAAAAGTGTAACTACTGTGAAGAGGAAAACAATACAAACAACTCAATCTAACTACATTTTATTGTTACCGAAGTGGCAAATAAGCTTTGTTTTTACAAAAACCATGATAATGTCAACTCAAATATAAGGCCACACAAAGTTGATTTTTCGTTTTGCATTACATGGATTTCAAAATTAGTGAAGGACGGACGGATTTTTTTTTTTTTTGTATTTTTTTTTTCTAATTCAATTTACTGCAAATAGAGTAATGATCACATTTAAGGTTATATTTGCACAACAAAGAATCAAAAAATTGGGCCGGTAGTCATATTTTTACTGTCAGTCCTATCGGACAATTGCGGGAAATTAAGGTCTCCATCGGGTGATACCGGATGAAAATAGG